TAGTCATGTCCATCTACAACCTTCTGTCTCGTGTACTTTCAATCACCTCTGACACAGATGATCTTCCATAGTCCATGCCGTGTGGCACTGGTAGTCATGTCTATCTACAACCTTCTGTCTCGTGTACTTTCAATCCCCTCTGACACAGATGATCTTCCATAGTCCATGCCGTGTGGCACTGGTAGTCATGTCTATCTACAACCTTCTGTCTCGTGTACTTTCAATCACCTCTGACACAGATGATCTTCCATAGTCCATGCCGTGTGGCATTGGTAGTCATGTCCATCTACAACCTTCTGTCTTGTGTACTTTCAATCACCTCTGACACAGATGATCTTCCATAGTCCATGCCGTGGGGCACTGGTAGTCATGTCTATCTACAACCTTCTGTCTCGTGTACTTTTAATCACCTCTGACACAGATGATCTTCCATAGTCCATGCCGTGTGGCACTGGTAGTCATTTCTATCTACAACCTTCTGTCTCGTGTACTTTCAATCACTTCTGACACAGATGACCTTCCATAGTCCATGCCATGTGGCACTGGTAGTCATGTCTATCTACAACCTTCTGTCTTGTGTACTTTCAATCACCTCTGACACAGATGATCTTCCATAGTTCATGCCATGTGGCGTTGGTAGTCATGTCTATCTACAACCTTCTGTCTCGTGTACTTTCAATCACCTCTGACACAGATGATCTTCCATAGTCCATGCCGTGTGGCACTGGTAGTCATGTCTATCTACAACCTTCTGTCTCGTGTACTTTCAATCACCTCTGACACAGATGATCTTCCATAGTCTATGCTGTGTGGCGTTGGTAGTCATGTCTATCTACAACCTTCTGTCTCGTGTACTTTCAATCACCTTTGACACAGATGATCTTCCATAGTCCATGCCATGTGGCGTTGGTAGTCATGTCTATCTACAACCTTCTGTCTCGTGTACTTTCAATCACCTCTGACACAGATGATCTTCTATAGTCCATGCCATGTGGCGTTGGTAGTCATGTCTATCTACAACCTTCTGTCTCATGAACTTTCAATCACCTCTGACACAGATGATCTTCAATGTCATGATTTCAAACTGTCCAGCATCTTTTCTCTCTGTCTCCCTCTTAACTGTGATTGCTGCATAAAGCAGCCTGAAGATTTGCAATGGGATTGTGGAGCAGAAAGACAGACCCCTAGGCACATACTACAGTACTGCCCTAACCTCTCCCAGCAAAGACTGTGGATCTGACCCAAGGGAGCCACATTGAAAGAGAAGCTATGGGGGACTGGTGGCGACCTTAAACGCACAATCCTATTTGTGACCCAGACGGGACTCAATGTCTAGCATGACTGATGTCGAACGCAGAAGAAGAAGAAGCAATGGCAGTCCTGAAGATGTCACTACTGTGTCATCATGTATAAAATATATGATGAACACTTCCACTGACAACACAGGAAGCATATATTATAACAAATAACTTCTTAACCTTCTGCATTCATGGGTTCCTTCATAGCTGCCCAGTTCAGGAGTGCAATTTTTATGGAGATTCCTGGGGATCGTTGCCGGAGCTATGGAGTCCATGCTCTGAGGGGCGCTCTCGACAGGAGGCTAGCCGTTCTGCGGAAAGAGACTGAGACCCAGTGCGATGTAGTGGATCCTCCCGACTTTTTTAACCTTTAATCTGCATTCACCTTTAACCCAATTGTTCTGAGAAAACTATTTTTCAACATCTTTTTACAGGTTTTGATGACATAAAGTCTTTGGCCAATACGCCTATATAACAGCTCTAGTACTTGCCAAAACTGCACACTGTGTAGACATGTGTGTGGGAATTACTACCTATAACCCCCACCCCCTTCCAAAGAATTTAGAAAGTATGGTTGCCATGGTATGTTGCGGTTTAAATCTAGGTTGCGGCGTCTGTACTTTTCAGCCTAACACATCCACTTTCAGCAAAATCTTAATTAGTAGCTTTTTATGACATATTGGGGGAAGTGCTCGGAAGAGTGGTCATTTTAAAAAAAATGGAGCCATAAAACCCACAAAACAATTAAAAATTATAAAAGTAACAATTTCAATATCAGCTACACTAATGTTACTACACTTACGTCTGCAAGCATCTGTAGCATTTTTAGGCACATCATAAGGTCTGTAGTATCCAGACACGCACTGCTCACAGTTAATTCCCATGGTATTATCCTGAAACAGTCAACAAAATGTTTAGCTGGTATTTACTTTATTCCACAAGTGTTACATTTTGGTGGGTGATGTGGTCAGCATCACGCCCATCAACATCATACTCACAGATATATGGAATTAAATTAATTCATTTGAAGAAGGAAAAAAAAACACGAACTGGTCATTTTTATAACAAGAACTCTTATGCTGCTGTAAATTAGGGAAGTAATGACTAGAAAAAGGAAATAATAAAGAAATAAACAGCATGCCTTGGTCATGTGATGAGAAGAGAGGCACTGGAGAGCACGAGAGTGACTAGACAGATCAACAAGGGAAAAGACAGTGGTAAACAGACATATTAGGCTGGATGGTCTAATACTGGTGTCATGATGTCATTAGAATTTCCCCATGTGGGTTCCCATTTTGGAGAATCAAGGACAGATCCACTGTCCTCCTAACAAGCATGTTATAGGAGGCTACTAATTAGGGGTGTTTCATTCACAATCAGAGTGCATCTGTCTTTGAGGCAAGGAACCAATAGTCTTGCACACAAATGAGCCAGATTTTTAAAACTGATACGCATTCAAAACTCCAGTTCTGAATCAAGAAAACAAGTTCAGAAGCGGCCCTTGACCAGAACTTTCCGCCGGAGTTTACAGATGGTGAAGACTAAGAGGAAGAAGATCATGAGAAATGAAACAGAACACCAAAGACCAAGATCAGCAGGAAACCAAGAGTGAAATTTGACTACTTATGAACAAGTCTCCACAGAGCTTGGTGTCAGGTTGGTTGAGGGTCAATGCATCACAGGATTTGAAAGACAGAAGCACAAAATCTTGTCTTGGATACATAGAAACAGAAGGACAGTAAAATATTAAAACTCACAACACAATGAAGTATAAATGTCTCACCCTGCAGTTTTGGCAAACACCTCCGCCTTCATATCTGCCATGGATGTCAATACTTTGTCTATTCTGTGCAATATCTTCGTCAAATACACATTTATCTGAGTGTCCATAGCATTCGCAAGCTGTAATGCAACGAATCAGAACATAACTTAATATAATTTATTCATAAGATTTGTTATATTACTTTAAGTACAAAACTTACAACACACCTGAATAAACACAAATCTCTCTTTCTCTCTCTCTCTCTCTCTCTCTCTCTCACACACACACACACACACACACGCGCGCACACACACACGCACAGGCACACGCACGCGCACGCACACACACACACACACACACACAACACACACACAAGAGACAATGTCTGAGAATTCTTGCTACAGATAATATCTTCTTCTCTATGTTCACCGGCAGTAAACTCTGGCAGAAAGTTGGCTGTTTATTCACATCATTGCTCTAGAACCTGAGTGTTGAATGCACATCCATTTAACAGATCTAACTTATTTGTATGCAGACTGTTAGTTGCTAGCCTTTCAGGCAGACACACTCTGAGTTCGAAGGAACACCCCAGTTGATTTCTTTGACATGCTTGTTAGGGAGCCAGTGAGTCTATTCTTTTTTCCCCCAACAACAGGATCCTTGAACCCACATGGAGAAGATAACAGTTAAAAATCGGAGAAACTTTTAAAGAAACAAGAAAGAGACAGTCATCTACAGATCATAAAGAGTTGCATAGTAGCACTTTAGCTGTAGGACAAGATAAGGTGATACATCAATTTAACACATACAATTAAGTATAATTAATTATATAAAACAAACCTTTTCCCAACGCAAATTTAAGTAACAAGGGGATAAACAACATACTGCAGAACTGTTTTGCCTGACATATTTCACAGTACCTGACTTTTACAAGTAGGTTAAGAGGCACATCACACACACAGCAAGGATACTTACGTTCGCACATAAATGGCTGGTCAATGAGAGCACGTCGCCACTTCTTCTGAGTAAACCCAGGACAGCACATTTCACACATGTCTCCGCAAGTATTGTGCTGGCAGACGCAGATGAGTCTGTTAGTTGCAGGGTTGCGCACATCACAAGTTGCTGCATGTCCATTGCACACACACCGGCCACCGATAGAGATGTCTTTGATACTGTAGTAATACTAAGAAATAAACAAAAAGGAAATATATAAGCCAGATTTCAAGAGATGTTTACTTTTCTTGTTGGTTTCTTTTGTCTTTCCTGACAATAGCCTTACACTGTGCTACAGGGAGGTGTGGGAGCCACTGTGGTGTAGCGGCTAGATGCTGGCCTGCCAATCAGAAGGTCGTAGGTTCGTGTCCTGACTGAGCCGGACTTTTTCAAAAATCACCTTGGCTCCCAGGTCCACCCAATCTTGAGTAGGGTACCAGATGTAGCCCTGGGAGGTAAAGGCGGCCAGCATGATGCTGACCACATCACCCACTGAGTGCCTTTTGGTCTATAAAATACAGGTCCAGCCCTTTATGCCCAAAATGCCTGAAGGCAGGGAAAAGGGTCCTTTACTTTACTTTTATTTTTTTCAAACTTGGAGGCATGGGAATGAGAGCTCCTGGTGATGGTGAATGTGTCTAGCAAGACCAGCTCTCGTTATGCGAAAGTTTAAACCAGTAACTGCTGTTTCTTGATTTGACTCCAAGACCACTTGCCCAGTGGTTGTCAACCTTCCTAATGACACAACCCTTAAATACAGTTCCATATGAGGTGGTGACCTCCTAGCCCTAAAATGATTTTTGTTGCTACTTTGTAACTTCAGTGAATATGTGTTTTCTGATAATCTTAGGCGACCCGTGTGAAAGGGTCATTCGACCCCCAAAGGGGTTGTGATCCATAGTTTGAGAACCGCTAACCTAGCCCAAAGCCTGGGCAGTATTGCAGACACCCAGTGTTGCTCATACAGCACACGACAGTTCTCTTGACCTGCCTTGTGTGCTCCAAAAGAAAGGTAGCAGCTGTAGCAGTAATTTACATGATAATATCTTGTTCAACCCATCCAAGTTATAATTAGGATATATCAGGTTTTTCAATAACAGATATTTTTATTGATCAATTTTGCTTGATTATTTAATATTGCATAGCTTGTGTATCAATTGTGCATGATTGTAGGAGACTTCTTCGTCTTCTTTATTTTTCCTTCAACTCACTGTTACCAAGTTCTAGCAGGAATATAGATTCTCAATTTCAATGTATTTCAAGTGTTCTTTCAAACAATTATAGTCATTTTATTGCAAAAAAAAAGTAACAATAAAACATTTGGAAGGACGCATACTCTAGAAACTTACCTGACCAGCAGAGCAGTAATTTTTTTAATGCCTTTCTTAATCACGTAAATTTAAACTATTTATGTTAGTTCTTGTTTCTCAGCGTTCACAATTCCACAGTTGCTTGCAAGAATTTCTGTTGTGTCTTCCATCCTATAGGCTGGCTGGTCAACTTTTAGTTTCCTAATAAAGAGGCCTTGCTCCCTCTGCCTGTCCTGTCTCACTTTTTACTTCTACTGTACACAGCTAGACTTTATTTATGTGGTACAGGAACTGTTCAATGCTTACCATTTCACTGCTTCGTAGAACGAATGTCATCCACGCAATACAAAAATTGTTACGAACAAAAAATGCTTACTCGTCTAGTGACTGTTGGATCCTGCCTGGCAATTGCCATCAAATGACCAAGAAGGTTCTTGGTGCGGAGCAGTCGCAGCTGAATGTCTGTTGCTCGTGTAAACTCCTGCAGCTCATCAGCGTAAGAGAAATTATTGGCACTGGGACGGCCATTTATAAGAGAAACTACAATCTGTGGAGAAGGAATTCAACTGCTTTTATTCACATCATGAAAAATTAAGAATTAACCATAGTCAGCATCCGTGGCTTAGGCGTTGCCAACATGCTTTTTAATGCTGGGGTGCTGGGTTTGATCCCAGCTGCAGACATTTTTGTCTTGTGTTGGTTTCAACAGTGGTACAGAGACCTGACCATTCAGAGGGCAATGGCAAACTACCAAATATATGTACAATTTACCTAGAAAAACCTCAACAGCCAAAAAATGCTTAAAGTTGGATCTGCAACGTCCAGTAAAGGATACAAAACTAACTAACCATATTTAAAAACATAAGAGACTGGTACACACACACACATCCCAAAAAGGATAAAAAAAATACATTAAAAAATTAGGTTTTTAAACACTCCCCAGACCAGATATGCTACAACTAAAACAGACAATAACAAAATAGTTATATAAAATGTTATTATTTTTTCTAATACCACAGTAACTTGAAGCCATTATGCACCTTAAATTACTAGACAAAGAGCAAACAGAAAAAGATGAAAACAGTAAGACTGTGTATTATGAACATCATAGTATAGATAATGTGGGTTCAGCTCCTGAGGGGGTGGGGGCGGACTTTTTTTTTTAAAACATGACCTTGGCTTCCAGCCTTGAGTGGGTACCAGGTGCAGTCCTGGGAAGTAGAGGCGGCTGGTTTGACGCTGACCACATCATCCACCAAGTGCCGCATGGTCTATAAAATATAGGTCTAGCCCTATATACCCAGTATGCTGAAAGGCATTGAAAAGGGTCATTTACTCACTTTACTATAGGACAGATAAGAATTATAAAATAAAATGCTGAAATATATAAAAGAATACAATCAGGGACTGTTGAAAACAAATAAACAAACAAACAAAATAGTGTGCTGATATTCAGAACTGTTAACTACTTCTATGCCAACCAGTTACTGCATTAACTGACACTCATACTTACTGACTACTTCTATATTGGCATCGTTGCAGTAACTCATTCCATCATCATCATTTTCCTGTTGCATCATTATAAGTAACACACAGCTTGTAGGCTATTCCTCCATTCTGCTCTATCCTGTCCAATCTCTACAATATCATGTATGGAATCCAGTCCAGCACATTGGCCTCATCTCAACGTTCGAATTTAGGGTTTCTTTTAGGATGGACTCGCTTCCTCAATCCCCTTATTTCCCAATTTTAGTTCCTTGCTTTTGTGATTCTCTGCTCATTTTTTCTCACAATAACTCAGGCTAACCCATTCTACACCTGTCATTATTTTAACTCTTTGGCTCCAAACTTACTGTCTAAACACAAGCTTATATATAAATCAAAATGAACCAGTTACCTCCCCATTGCTCAAAGGCACAATTTTTGAGAATTCTGTACTGCAAATAATTTGGTCATCGCTGACCAATGGTTCGTCAGCTGGAGTGTTGAAGTAATTGACACAGTCACTGGGTGTGTCTGCAAAGTACTGCCATGGCTTGTAGGTCTTTCCAAAGTCTAAAGATCTCTCCAGAACCCAAACACCTGGTCGAGGTGAGTTGGCCATCTTGATGAACACGTATGCAACATGAAACTCCTGGAAATACAGAATTGTAATTGACACTTGTAATAACAGGATTTATAAATTGCATATTCTCCCTGTGTGGATTCCGGGCCCTATTATAGGGAAACCAGAATAGACCCACTGCCTACCAACAAGCATGTTGTAAAAGTAGACTAATTGGGAGCTTTCTTCAAAGTAGGAGTGCAACTGCCTGAGGGGCAAGGAACCAACAGTCTGCACACAAATGTGTCAGATCTGTCAAACGGATGCACACCCAACACTCAGGTTCTGGAGCAGGACTGCAGTCTAGAAGTGGAGGAACAACTAGAATTTTCCACCAGAGTTTACACCCGGTGAACGCGAAGAAGAAGAAAATTGCATATTCAAATTTTGATCAATAGAACATTTCAATGTAACATATCCTTAAAGCAAGTTGCCTGTGTGAGGTCCCCAGGGGAGGGGAGTGACATGCAGGAAAAGGAGTCCTGCCTTGTGATAACTAATAGTGCAGAAGCAAAATCTTCAGTTACACATGAAAATAATGCACAGGTATGGAACTGTCAAGGGATACCGTCCATTTTTATCAGCCTTTTCTGTAAAATGATGTGCACGCAACGCTCAAGTTCTGTGGGGAAAGGGGGGGGGAAGTCCTCATGAGAAGAAGAAGAAGAAGAAGCAGAAGAAGAAGGAGGAGGAGGAGCAGCAGCAGCAAAAGCAGAAGGAAGGAGGAAGAAAGAGGAAGGAGGAGGAGGAGGAAGAAGAAGAAGAAGAAGAAGAAGAAGAAGAAGAAGAAGAAGAAGAAGAAGAAGAAGAAGAAGAAGAAGAAGAAGACTAGAAATAAAATTCGTGTGTGCTGTTGGACGCTTCAAATGCCACATTTCTGTTACCAAAAGGAGCATCATATACTATGCCTGACAGTCAATGTTAGACACGCTGATTTAACGCCTGCCTGATCTCCCTCGTATAACCCTTGCTTCAGTCAAATGAGCACGTCCGCCTGTCTAGCACATCCGTTGTTGGCAACTTGAGCCGTTTACCTACTTTTTTTTTTTAAACAACACCTCCCCTCGCTCCCTTTGCCTCCTCTTCGGCTAGCTGAATGTATCCCCTCATATTCTCTGTACTAGAGCGCCGAGACTAAGAAAACAATGGGTGCTCGGGGACGCTCCCTTATAGTTTTTAGGGGAGAATAATAATAATAATAAGTGGGAAATAATAAGTATTATATGCTTTATATGCTATTATATTCAAGTATTATATGCTGAAGTGCAAAAATCTAATAATGTCAAAGCCACGTTTCCCTGTTGTAAGTTTCAACAACGAAGACAAAAACAACAAAAGAAACAGAAGGAAATAATAGTGACCCAGCGATTGCTGTGTAAAACAAGACAGCTGCTTTCGAGAGTGTTTGCATTTGTACTTCAGTTATAAAGGATTCTTTTATTTGCTTTTATTTTATTGCCAGACAAAAAAGTGTGCACCTGACGATGCACCTGACGAGGTACTGCAATATATGCCGTCTAATTGTTTGTTTTCTTTGTTGAAATGTGATGATATATTTGAAATAATACGAAAGTTACAAAACCCTTGGTGGGGGGGGGGGGGGGGAATTCTTTTTGGTAAGTTAGTTAGTTAGTTATTCCTCTTGTGCCAAAGATGGCGCATAGGGCAGAGGTCATAGCTTTCCACGTCTGTCGGTTCTTTGCCACTTGATGTAGGTCTTGAGTGCGACTGAGACCTATGGTTGAGCTCTCCATTGTGATGGTAAGGGGACCACCATATAGCCCTCTTACAAATTATGTGGGTGAAAGGTTAAGATGCCAGAGCTCCAAGATTTCGCCGGCCCTGCTCTGTACGGAAGGAAGCACTACTAGTTCACGTCTGTGTCAGGCTCCCGCTAAAACAAACTTGAGCGTTTCACATGCCACTGTTACACTGGGGGAGGGGGAAGATCCAGGTCGCCCAGATGGGAGAGAAGATCGTCAAGTGGGCAATGATGTTTAAGTTGGTCTGGTGGCTCTTTGCTGCTTTGAGTGTTTGTATTTCTGGACACAAGTGTTTCGCCAGGCCAGGCTTGCTCACTTCTGTACACCACCGTGTGGTATCAATATTATTTGCTGAAACATGAAACTAAAAAAGAACATTTTATTTTGTCTTGCTGTCCGGAATAAGACTGACTACGACAGCCACTGAGTGGCAATATTATGTTTTTTTATCATTATCACGTTCTTCTTTTTTCTACATTTTCGCCTCCTTCCAACTAGTCTTCTTCTGTCTGTTTTTCCCCCGAAGGCGCACATGCCTCAACCAACTCACGCCATTCTCTTAGCTTTTGCTAACGCGTTAGATACCTTCATGACCCCACCCGCCCCCCACCCCCACCTCCCTCCCCATTTGTGTTCATTTCATTTTTAGTTTTCTTCTCTCTCTCTCTCTCTCTCTCTCTCTCTCTCTCTGTCTGCGCGCGCGCACACATTAGGCATTTTGGTCTGTCTCTACTCCGTTAAAACTCCTGTGTGTATTGTTATCAGCTTTTCTCCAGAGCCAGCGTTTTTTTTTCTCTACCTCTTCATGGGTCAGTCGGTCATTCTGTTACTTGCGGGAGGGGACGACAGAGAGAGAGAGAGAGAGAGAGAGAGAGAGAGAGAGGGAGACAGAGAGAGAGAGCAAGCCGACTGGTAGGTTTTCCAAGCCCAAACCTCATCAAAGGTGTAGATGATGTCTTTAATGTAAACGTGATATACTATGCAACTGGAAATTGAAAGAAAAAACGGACCATCCAAAAACGCCGAATAGATGAGATCTACAAAAAGACAATTTTCTGAATAACAGAAGCGGCGGCGTGGAATGTAAACTCTAGCTCCAGCTGTCTACACATCAAAGACATTTTCAGAGTCCCCATGTGGTTATAGATTGTACTGATATATTTTACCACAAATGTTCAAAGGAAACCTAGACGATGGTCTGTCTTCTGGTATGTGACACTGTTTTCCCGCCTCAAGGTCTGCCATCTCTAGGATTAATTAACATCCCAAGGATGACAATAAATCAAGTACAAATCCCGAAGGCTAAACAGGTCTATGGAAATTCCCGTATTGTTAGGCCGGTCTGTGGTCACCATTGTTATCGAGTAAATTTATACACAAATTAAACTGCAGTTTAATTAACTTGCAATATATTTTATTGAATATTTTAATATTATTATTATTCTATTTTCTAACAGTCACTTATTAATCTTTATAGTGATAATTCATTTAATAAAATATGTTGCAAGTTAAATAAACTGTAGTTTAATTTGTGTATAAATTTACTCGATAACAATGGTGAGCACAGACCGGCCTAACAAAACGAGAATTTCCGTACACCTGTACTTCTGGAGCTGGCCGTGCTCCAGGTCTACCGTACAGCCATATAGCAGCAGTTCACGTCAGACTTTAGCTATTACCGTTGGAGCCGGTCGGGGGCAGTTATAATAGGCCTCCACAAAACGGTTACTACGTAACCTGTAGTCCAGTATGGGCGGGCGAGTGCGTGCTGACACTGCTGACAATAATGAACGTAGTTTCAGTGCCTTCTCAAAAGGTTGAGGTCAAGGTAATGACGTAGCAAATACAGTCGCTTGGGTGTCAAGTACGAAGACTTAGGTATCCAATTTTGACGATGGGTGGCCATTTTACGACAGCGCTATTAAGCTGGCGGCCCGCGGGTCATACCTGGTCCGCGGAGGCCTCGCTAATGGCCCGCGGATCACTGCCAGTTTTATTAATAACCTTTTTATTCTGGGGCTCAGGCATAGGGCTCGTAGCAATCCTCCTTTCGAAAACGTTGGCCCTTGAGTAAATTAAGTTGAACAGCACTATTTTAAGAGGTCGGGTCGATCTTCAAGTCGCACTTGGGGGGGGGGGGGGGGGGGGAGAAACAAATCCCTTCCTGGTTTCCCCCATCTACGTAACACAGTCCTCGGCATTTTATTCCTACACATCTACTTCAATACCTGCAGCATTCGTGTCCCGCTCGACTTCTACCATGTCAGTAAATACAATGCACGGATTTTCTAACTATGCCTGCGTTACTTTTAATTCTTCAGATCGTCAAAAGGCAAAGAGAACATTCTTTGTTGATGACGTGGCATCCGCTGTATACTCTTGTAAGAGAAGCCTAAAAATCTCGCGCTGATGTAGCGCGTGATTGCATCCAGGCGCTCAAACCGACCCGCCATTTCCAAGGCCAGGCTGGAGAACATCGACGGCGCTACGTCTGCAAGTTTTATAATTCTACCCTCGCATTTATACATAAGAACTTTAGCCGTGAACTATGAAATGAAACCTTCTGCGTGCACAGAATATACTTAGGTTCTTTTCTGTTGAGCGACCACATAAGGCGAGATGGAAATCCCACAGTATGGGGTGTTTGGTTTAGAGTTAGTGTTAAATGAATAGTGGCTACTACTAACCCCCCCCCCCCCCCCCCCCAATTACTATGGGAATGTCAAAAATCTCGCGGATGTGGTCGCTTAAAAGAAAAGAACCTATACTTGTATTTATTGAGTAGGCTATCAAAACAACGCCTGCCTGCAGTGAGTCGTTAAAAAGGTTCAGGATTTGCCAAGTCGGTTCCATGATACCTTGTGGAAATCTACAGCTGGTGTGTACCATAGCAGGCCAGCAGTGAAATAGTATAAACATGATATCTTTGCTGATAGGAATAGTTCTTTTCTGATGTTAAGCAACAGCACGCAGTACCAACACCTTGGGTTGGCTGTTGCCCTATGCTCCATTGGGAGTTAAAAGAGACATATGCACTCGGACAAAGTGAGAAAGAAGGAGAGAAAGAGATATACAGAGAAGGCGACACACATACACACACTAGAGGGAGCAGGGATGGAGATAGACAACACATACAGACGCAGAGCGTGATTTGAAGAGACGAACACAGAAACAGATGGAGGAGAGAGAGAGAGAGAGAGAGAGAGAGAGAGAGAGAGAGAGAGAGAGAGAGAGAGAGAGAGAGATGGACGAGACACACAGAGAGGG